ACTAGGGAAAACTAAAACACCATTTTCTAGCTTCAAAATATGTTGTTCTCCACTGTCTCTCCTCTCTGTAAGTTATTCCAAGTCCTGCACAGAGTGACAGGTAGATCCCTTCTCTCTAGAGTTAGTTCTTTTCAATACTAGAAGAAAGGAAAAGGAAAATTATCCTTTGGAAGGTTAAAGCAACAAATAATCACTCCAGTGTTAAGTTATAACCTTTTGTTTGGTTTTTGACGGTCAAATAAAGTCATTGAGTCTAGAGACTGTTTATGTTGTTATTCGCTACTAATCCTATTTCTCCACTCCTCTTTGGCCATTTGAAGATACCAATGGTGGATGAATTATGCCTTATGGTTATAGTTTGGACACAGAAGACTTCTCAAAGGGATCATTCCTTATTATCTTTCTTTTCCTCTCTTTTGGAAGAGTTACGTTTCCCTGTGCCTGTCCCACCACTGTATTTTGGAAGTATGAAATTTCATTTTCATCTTTAGAAGGACTGACAGTTTGGTTTGCCCTGACCCTCGGAAGTGGGTTTCAATAGGATTATGTGATTGCATATTTGAATAATGGTGCAGGCTGGCAGGGAATTAAAACGTTGCCACTCAGGAATAAGCAAGAACAATGTCCGGTCCTTTGGATTAAAAGTGGATGTTGCTGGGCATGCATGGCTCACATCTGTAATCCTAGCTACTCAGGAGGCTGAGACCTGAGGATCATAATTCAAAGCCAGCTCAGGCAGAGAAGTACTGGCCAGACTCTTAGCTCCAATTAACCACTCAAAAACCAGAAGTGGAGCTGTGGCTCAAAGTGGTAGGGTGCTAGCTTTGAGCAAAAGAGCTCAGGGACAGACTAGGCTCTGAGTTCAAGCCCCACAATCAACCAAAGAAAAAAGTGTTTGTTTCTGCTTAGGGAACTTTACCCATGAGAGCAAAGAAAAATGGATAGCTTGCTATTAGGCCACACACAGTCTTTCTGGTTTTCCCCAGATGACAAAACAACACTTAGTATTAGGTACTAAGGCTCATGCATTGCTGATGGGGATGTGATGGTGCAGCTTCTTTCAAAAACTGTGATAGTTTCTTTTTTTTTTTTTGGTCAGGTCATGGGGCCTGAACTCTGGGCCTGGGTGCTGTCCCTCAGCTCTTCAGCTCAAGGCGAGCGCTCTACCACCTGAGCCACAGCGCCACTTCCGGCTTTTTTCTTTTTATGTGGTGCTGAGGAATCAAACCCAGGGCCTCAGGCATGCAAGGCAAGCGCTCTACCACTGAGCCAACTTCCCAGCCCTGTGGTAGTTTCTTGAAAAGATAACTATCGGTTTTTATATATGACCCACCAATTCTGATTGTAGGCTTATATATACATATATATATATTTATATACATACATACATACTAAAGAGAATTGAAAAATATATATGCACAAAGAAGTAGCTCATGCCTGTAATCCTAGCTTTTCAGGAGACTGAGATGTGAGGATTACGGTTTAAAGCCAGCTCCTGCAGGAAAGTCCATGAGACTCTTATCTCCAATTAACACCAGAAAACCAGAAGTAGCACTGTGGCTCAAGTGGTAGAGCAATCACCTTGAACTGAAAAGCTCAGGACATTGCGCAAGCCCAGAGTTCAAGCCCCATAACCAACAACAACAACAACAACAAAGGTGTGATTTGATTTTACTACAACTACAGCAAATCATTCTTATAGCTGCCTTTTATGTGATTTCTAGCCCAATATCGGTAGATCTAGGAAATGCAGGCAACTTTAAAGCAAACTGAGTAACAGGGACACTCATTACATATCTGTGCTATTTTTAAAAATTACAAATTCATCACCAAGACAAAAGGCTTTAGGCAGTCTTGGATTTGGTTTACTTAACATTCACGTGGGTAGTGGCCACTAGATTAGTACCGAAAACACAGAAAATGCTCAAAAAAGCTAGTTCTCTTGCTGAGACCCTCATCGCAAGAGATAACTTCTAATAATCTAATAGAGACTTCAGAAAATCCCACTACAGCTTTACTAAAAATTAGTTATGTTAGGTTCAGAATCAGAAGCACTTTAAACTTGCCCAAAATTGTTTATTTTTATATAAGCATACATATATTTTACCTGGCACAGTAGATTAAAAGCTAGAAGTCAGTTACTGTTAAATATTTTGTGGATTCTTTTGGCTAGGTAGCAGCTATCAGATCAATGAAGTTCACTTCAATTTGTCCTTATTGGTACTGTCTCTATGAGGAAACTGTGTAAGGATTTATACCAGATAGAGATATAAACATAGCCTACTACAGTGAGAAGGCTTTCTTTCTATCTTATCTAGCTAAACTTTCTAAGATGATGTTTGAAGAGTATCCCGGTATTGCTAGAGAAGGTATATTCTCTGGTAGAACAGCCTTTGTTCATGTGATATGAAGCTTAAAACACTAATCAGTAAATGATAATAAGACAAAAAAAGTCACTATGTCAATTAAGAAGATAAGCAAAATGTTCAGTATTAAGCTGACACAAAGTAAAGACTTGAACTTGATATCCAGAGAGACTGTCTTGAATTAGCCAAAGACAGACTAAGCATTTGTTGAGAATACATGAGCTACCAGAGATATTTTGGAAAAGATTTAATTAATATCTGAGAGTCAAAAAGAAAATTGAACATGATAGAAAATATAAGAACTTTGTTGGACTTCCTTACTAATGATTTTATATTACTTTTATGATTTTATATTACTTTTAGTCTAACTTATATAAGACTCTGCTTAAAGCAGTACAGTCTTACGAAATTACACAATAATAATAATAATAAAACTGTTACCCTACCCCTGCTGAGAGGACATATTAGAAATTGTTTTGGTTTTGAAGTTTTTCAATAACAAGAGAATAAATTCATGGTCAAGATTCATGGCTTAAGACATATAAGCAAATGTTTGTGTTATTTTATTTAAATTGTTTACAAATATTTAGCTTTGGCTTAACATCTGCTCATATATAAACACAAAATGATATAATAATTTAACTTTGTAACCATTAATGAGGAACAGTAGTATCCTATTTTTTGAGCTTCAGAGGAATCTTCTGAGAATCAGGTATATTTAAATGTATCTATAGTTAAGTATTAAGGTGCGCCAAAGGCATCAAGAGGCCCACCCAAGATAGCTCAGAGATTCTAGAGAATGATGAACAATCTAAGAACACATTCTGAGTTACTTCATGATTGCCAAGAGTAAGTATAATAATGACAGCTAACAATTATTAGTCAGTAACATTTTCAAGATACATTAAGAACTTTTATGTATTAGCTTACTTATTATAGCAATTTTAATTTATAGTAATCAATTAATATTTATTATTGTCTCAAACTTATATTCTGAACACTGAGCAATTTATCTAAGATCATGCAGTAGAGCTGAAATTAGAACTAAATCTGTCTGACCACTATGTTTACTGAGGAAAGACAAGGCTGTGTCATTTTATAAACAAGGCAATTATAATGGCCAGTAGCAGAAAGTCATCTTTAACTGGGTAATTTCACTAGCCCAGTAGCAAATGTCTTACTGTTGCCACATTGTGAAAGCTGTATTGATATGTTGATATAAAATCCAACAAGGTAATTATAATTGAATTGTATCATAAATTGTATCATAAATTTCTAGACATCAGAGAAAGAAGTGCAAACTGAAATGTGTAGCGAGTTCTTTTGTCTTTAGAAGGCTTTAAAAGCTTTTTAAATAATGAAAGTTTATGTTTAGGTATGTCTAGGGATGCAACTATGGTAAAAAGCATTTTAAGAAAACAATTTGGCTGAACAAGTTTACACTCCCACCAACAATGTGCAAACTTGTTCAACCACTTTGGAAAGTAGTATGGAGGTTCCTCAAAAGACTCCACATAGAGCTCCCCTATGACCCAGCAATCCCACTTTTGGGCATTTATCCAAATGATCACAAACAAGACCATACTAAAGCTACTAGCACAACCATGTTTATTGCAGCATTATTTACCATAGCTAAGATATGGAACCAACCCAGATGCCCCTCAGTAGATGAATGGATCAAGAAAATGTTACACACACACACACACACACACACACAATGGAATTCTATGCCTCCATCAGAAAGAATGACATTGCCCCATTTGTTAGGAAATGGAAAGACTTGGAAAAAGTTATATTAAGTGAAGTAAGCCAGGCCCAAAGAAACATAGGTCCTATGGTTTCCCTTATTTGCAATAACTATATATGTCTGAGACAAGCAGAAACAGTCAGATAAGTTGATGTTAGGCAAAATGAACCCCAAGATAAGGACTCAAATGGTTTTTCTTTCTTGCGATTGTTTCTAACATATTTATAAGGTGATTTTTTTGCTGCTTTGTATGTCCCTCCCCCACGTTAAAACCCTTGTTTTCACTGTATTTGATGTTGGTATAATTTGGGGAGGGGAAGGGAAAAAACAAATTGTTTAAATAGGGATACAGGTGGACCTTTCATTGCAACAATGAAAGGTACCAGATGCTATGTCGAGCAATGAACTTTACAACTTTGGTGGAGTGGGGCGGGGAAGGGGATGGTAAGGGGAAACAAAGGAGGAGGCAACAATGCTTGATAAGAAATGTACTCATTTCCTTGCTCATGTAATTGTAACCCCTCTGTACAGTATTTTCACAACTGAAAAATTTATTAATAATAATAAAAAAAGAAAACAATTTGGCTTCATTTAAGCAGAAAGCAGATTTTAATGTTTCCTCTAATATCCAACTACAGTAAAAATGAAAGCATATGACATGTTATGGGAAGAAGTACCATAATAGCAAAATTATGGATTTTTAAGAGTAATAAACAACTTTCAAATAAACAGCAATAAAAAAAGAACTGGACAGAGAGCTTTAGGTTTTCTCAGAGAAGTCCTCTTCTTCTGTATTTACTAACCTAGAATGAGTCAAAGGTTATATATTGAACTACTTTAGTTCTAAGGACAAAGAAGTAAGGTAGTCAAAGGACAAACTTACTTACCTTTAGGAGAGCCAAGGCTACATGAAAGATTATGTTCAAACCCTGAAACACAAAAAGAGCGAAAATCAACAGCCATATCTATCTCTATATATCTTTAATAAAATTCCTAAATCCTTTCATCTTTACATACACTATTAAGTAAACCATGAGATTTTTTTTTTTTTTTGGTTAGTTATGGGGCTTGAACTCTGGGCCTGAGCACTGTCCCTCAGCTCTTCAGCAAGCGCTCTACCACTTGAGCTACAACGCCACTTCTCATTTTCTAAGTGTCTGTTGGAGATAAGAGTTTCATGGACCTTCCTGCCGGGCTGGCTTTGAACCGTGATCCTCAGATCTCAGCCTCCTCAGTAGCTAGGATTACAGGTGTGAGCCACCGGCACCCAGCAACCACAAGATTTTTTTTAAAAAGGTATTTTCCTTCTCGGAAGTACTTACTGAAAATTTTAGATGCTATTTAATTAACATTCACAGGAAGCTACTGTCATTTACAATGGCTTTGCTTTCCTGTGTTTAGTTTTGAGTTATTTCCCTGTGTCTGTGACCTGTAAAAGTTATTTGTTAAATAACAAAATAATTTAGAAATGTAAAGTTATTCTGGACAGCCGGATTATGCAGTTTAACTGCAGTGGCAGACGAAACAAAGCAAGATGGAGTTCATAACAAGTAGGTAGAATTTTAAGTATCCCACAGGATTTACACTACTGTTCTTCATGTTTTACTGCTTGTTTTAGTGCAAAACTATAGGCAGCAATTAGGAACTATTGGTCAGGCTTTGTTTTTCTTTTCTTTTCTGAAAACCAGAACCATTCTGGTGAAGCCATACTGGAACTGATGTTTGAAGTCTAGGTTCAGCCCAGTGACTCTGAAGAGATGCTGAGCTATTAAATTAAAAAGATATGGAATTTCACATATACAAGACAACAGAATGAAAAATAAGGTTGCCATAGAGTAGGCTGTTTCCTTGATAATGCAAATCATTATTCATGAGAATATCTTTCAAGTCTGAGTTGACATTATGCATAGGTGTATGATCTATTGAATGTGTCACCCTTCATCTTTGTCATAAACATAATCTATCTGCCTACTGAACATAGAGCTATACCAAATGTACTTTTACAAAGAACTTTAGATTTCTGCATCTATGATCAAAGGTGATGATTAGGACTAGAAACTTAATAAGCATTCCTGTTATGGCTTGCTAATGGGAATTTTGACATTCAACTACCAAACATGGCAAGATAGATGAACAATAAAAATATCGATTGGTAGAAATATAAGCCAAACACTTTGGTTTTGGTCAGCTAATTCTTTAGGAAACCAAAGCAACAGAAAGTACAATCAGGATAGACAACAAAAACAGATTGACTTAGTTTCCATTACCATATCAACTGATGATTCTAGACAAGTTATTATCATAATCACCAATTAGAAAAATAAGTACGATTATTTTAGTTTAAGAAAAAGTTGTGTTACAATTAAGCAAACTTTGTTTTCCTAATCTGAGTCTGGATTTTCACCCATTGGCTTTTACCTAGTTGCTACAAGTGTGGGATAAGATGAAAAAGACCCTGCTCCCTGCTCTGTCCACACTATATCACGACTACTAGACTGCCACCAGGACTAAAATCAACATGTATCTGGTTCTTATTTTTCTAATCCATCTATTTTATGCTTTCTGTCATAGCCATGAGGACAAGCACATACCACTACACCTGGCTTTTTTCTTGATATAGAATATTGTAAACATTTGGCTTGGGCTGGCTTTGAACCACATAATCCTTATCTCCCATCTCGTAAGTAGTTGGGATAAAATGAGTGAGCCAATAGCACCAACTTATTAAAAACTTCTTTTATTCAATTATCATAACTCAGTTTTGGGGGAAAATAAAGCCTTCACATAACCTTAAATAAGTAGAATGGAGTGTTCGGCGTCTACTTAAGTAGAAAAATATTTTCAAACCTCTAAATTGTTGGAAATCAGTGAAAAATTGTTACTTTATCAACAAATCTATCTTCAGTTAATTTTTTGGCCAATATTAGGGGGCTTGAACTCAGGGCTTTGCTCAACTGGTGCTCTACCAACATAAGCCATACCCCCAGTCTAACTTTTAGGAGATGATTCATGTAGAGTTTCTTCTAGGGCTAGCTTCAAACTACAATTCTCCATTACTTAAGTGGGTAGCATGAATTATAAGCAGGAACCACAAGTGCCAAATAAATCTATCTATATTTTAATTACATTAATTTTAATGTATTGTGATTCCCAAAGAAATGAATATTTTTAACTAACATATCTGATAAAACTTTTATTTAAAATATAATTAGAGGTTATATTATAAAAACTTCCCTTACACCCTGGTGCCTGTGGCTCACACCTATAATCCTAGCTGATACTCAGGAAGCTAAGATCTGAGGATCGCAGTTTGAAGTCAACCTAGGCAGAAAAGTGACTCTTTTTGCCGATAAATCACTCAAATCTCAGAAGTGGCAGTGTGGTTTAAGTGGTAGACCACTCACCTTGAGTACAAAGAGGCTCAGGGACAGCACCTAGGCCCTGAGATCAAGTCCTACAATTGACAAAAACAACAACAACAAAAACGTTCCAGGAGCTGAGCGCCTGTAATCCTAGCTACTCAGGAGGTTGAGATCTGAGGATTGTGGGTCATAGCCAGCCCAGGCAGAAAAGTCCATGAAACTCTTATCTCCAATAAACCACCAGAAAACCAGAAGTGGCACTGTGGCTCAAGTGGTAAAGCACTTGCCTTGAGCTGAAGAGTGCAGAGACAGTGCCCAGGCCCAGAGTATAATAATAAGGCAGAATAAATAAGATAAAATATTCCTGAGATATTTTCTTTGTGACAAGTTATGAGTTTTTTATATTACCCCACAAGAACCATAAAATTCCATTTCATAAAATAGTAATTAAAATTTATAGAAATGAGCTAGACATAATAGAGCACTTGAAGGATTGTGAGTTCAAGGCTAGTCTGGGCTAAAATATCAAGACCTTATCTAAGAAAGAAAAAGAAAAACATTCTCAGGGAGAATTTTCTAAAGCAACATGGTTCATAAGTACAGATTTAAATACTCTATACTCTAAACCACCAAGTTAAAGAGAATGGTCCAATGCCTAAGTAAATGCCATAATTTGGACCTTAAAAGACCCAAAGGTTCATGTGATAGAGGCCTGCTCCCCAAGAACTATTACCAATGAAGCCCTAGTGGGAGCTCTTCAGGACACTAGGGGCATTTCTCTGGAGAGAACTATAGGCTACTATCTTCTTGCCCTCTTGCTTTCTTTCACTTGCCAGACATGAGGTGGGTCATGTTCTTCCCAGTACATCCCTACTATGATATGCTGCCAGTTGTAACAGGTCCAAAGCAATAGGTGAATCAGTCAAAGACTAACACCACTAACCCTTCAAGCCAAAATAAACCTTTATGTTTATAAGCTGTTGATTGGTCAGGTATTTCTTTTAGTCATAGAAAATGAATAAATGAATTATTTGAATAGTATTTAATGTGTTCTCTAATTCCTAGAGGATGAAAAGGATTCTTTCTATTTAGAGGAAAGCACATTTTCAGGGCAAAGTAGAATGGTAACGCATAGGAAGCTTTGACTAAAACCAAATTCTATTATTTGTCTCCATATTGAAAACAAACATGAAAAACGGAGCTGACACCTTGTAGGATAGGAAGCAATAAGTATTCAGTATGCTGTAGAAAAAGATCACTACCTCCCTCCAATGACAATAGATTGAGATTAGCTCTATGTGCATAAAGTAGTTCTTTAACTGATTTGGATGCTGCTGTTTCAGAATTTAGTCATATTCCGGCAACATCTTTGCCTTAAAGAACACTTACAGATAATTGCCCTCAATTGAATAATTGCTCCAAAGTTCAGATCATAATATTCCTGAGTAGGCCAAGAACTGAGCCCCCGTAATCCTGCATAAAATAAAGGATGACAATAGTCACACTGAACATTTTAGCTCTGATGAGTAGGCAATCAAGAGTTCAGAGAGCTGACAGATTATGTGAGAAGCTGTCAAAAACTATGCTGACAGCACCTAGAACAACTGCTGAAAAGGTACCATCAAGAAGTGCCAAATCGGGACCGGGAAGGTGGCTCAGTGGTAGAGTGCTTGTCTTGCATTCACGAGGCCTTGGGTTCAATTCCTCAGCACCACATAAGCAGAGAAAAAACAGAAGCGGTGCTGTGGCTCAAGTGGTAGAGCACTAGCCTTGAGCCCAGTCCCAGAGTTCAGGCCCCATGACCGACAAAATAAAAAAATAATAAAAAAAGAAGTGCTAAATGTGTATCAGTACTTGGGTCGTTAGAAAGCAAAATAAAAGGGAAGTGAATAGTATGTGGAAAGGAAAAACATACCAAGGCGGTAAGGAGTGAAAAAATCCAAAGTGGCCACAATAGATGAAGCAGGATACATGAAGACAGAGGAAGTGGTGTGTTATCACTTTCACCCATGTAAAATATGACATACTACCCCAGAAAGAAGTATGGCCAAATGAGACAGCATATGGAAAATATACCAAATGAGGTTTAGTGGCTCTAGGCATAATCCTAGCTACTTGAGAGATGGAGATTGGGGGCTCACAATTTGAGGCAGGCCAGGGTTTAAAGAAGTTCATGAGGCTTTTTACCAAAATGGCTGGATACAGTGGCATGTGCCTGTTATTCCAAGGTCATGGTAAGCACAAGTAAAACAGCTAAAGCCATTCCAGGCATAAAACAAGACCTTTGAAAATAATCAGTGCAAAAGAGGGGAGAGGTATGGTTGGAGCACCTGCCTAGCAAGCATGCGGCCCCAAGTTAAATCCTTAGTACCATAAAAGAGGCATGCAGTTAGCATCCATTTGATAACTGTCAGCATTTATTATTAGATTCCTATTACTTATTGCCTTCCATTTTTAGCACTTTTTCCCAATCAGTCCACTCAACAACTTTTGTATATAGAGGAAGTATCACCATGCTGTTTTCTGGGCAGGCATGGAGAGACTGACTGCTTTCATGTCCCATCTTT